ATGCAGGCCGGATGATATTTAATGCAGGCCAGATGATATGCTAATGCAGGCCAAATAATCTCATATTAAAAACCCCGCGCGGGATTCCGCGCGGGATTCCGCGCGGATCCCGGCGTGGCCCATCTCTACTCACAATCGTATGGTAGGGGTACCTATACCTAACTGGGCCACATTTTTTCCGAATCACGTGATGTACCAATTTCAATGAAAATTTTTAGTTGAATTCTACAGTTTATGGGATTCAATTTAAAAATATTTTCATCGAAATTTATCGGGTGGTTGTCGAGAAATCACCACTCAAAGTTTAAAAATCAATTTTTATGTGGAAAAAATGTGCTAAGCTCAGTCCCAGTTATCTATACCTAGGGATGGTAAAAAAAAAAAAAACCGGGTTTGAATGATTTTTGAACCGTTTTAAATCATGTTTTAAAACATTGTGACGGCTGATAGCTGAAACTGAAAACTACTATATATGATTGGATCATTTTAGCTTGATCGATAACATTTATTTCGTAGGTATGTAACTTTTATTCTCACCAACTTACGCAATTATGGGCAGCCGTCAATCGAAATCAAGTAGATTGAAATTTTTAAAAAAATTAATGTCTTAATTTTCACTGCTCATATCTCAATGAATTTCGAGGCTATTCTTATGATTGAATAGTTACAAGAAAGCTTAGATCTTAAGCTTTCATTTGACAATTTATTCATAAGAATAGCTTCAAAATTCATTGAGATATGAGTAGTGCATTGATTTTTTTAAAATGTCAATCTGTATTGATAATATTATTAAGTCATGTGAGATTTGTTTTAAAACAATAAAAAACTATATGTATAAAACTAATTTAAACCATTTATTTTAAAACATTTTTAAAACATTTGCCAACCCTACCTATCTATACCGTATTATACTATTTATATTTTTTGGCATATTATATACATCAATAATAAGAAATATCGAAATTTTTCATGATAAAATTCCGAAAGATTCCGAACAAAATTGTATAATGATTAGACAATGTTATATGGTATTATACAATATATAAATATAGTATCTGGATTAAATACGTGAGGAATGGTCAAGGAAATCTGTCTTCGAAAGGAATTTTGAGTTTTGAGAAAAATGTGATTAAAGTTTGTGTTAAACGCAATTCCAATTCCAGTTTCTTATTTGTACGAACAAGTCACATACTTGAATTCAATCGCCAAGTTTAAATTGATAATCTTCTGATTAGTTATTATACTATGTTTAGAATACTTGACTTTTTCAAACTTAAAAAACACAATGTTTTATTAAGCTAATGTATAATAAAATTGTATTTCATATAAATAAGAGACAATAATTTTAATTGAAGTTCTTAAAATTAATCAAAAAATGGTTTCCCTGAACCAATCCTCATCGGGGTATTTCTAATTCAAAATTATGTAATGTACATGTAAATGAACAATTATCATAGTGCATTACAGTTAAAAACTTTTAATGAAACGTTTTGAACTATACATTAGTAGGAACTTTTGCTATGTATACTCTTGTTAAAAGAAGTGCGTGTTTTAATCGAACCGTTCTGATTTTTGTCACGAATTAGATTTGGTAACCGAAAATTTAAAATCATAATCGTGTAAAAAAGTTCGAATATTATATGAAATTTATACATGTATTGTAGGTTTCGCGATAGTGAATCTTGTTAAGATTCAATTGTATATAATCCCTCACCAGTTTTAAAATATGTGTAACATTAACGGTCTCCGCTGTTTAATTTGATTGTAATCACTATCTAAGGATTTCTTTTTAATTTCATCATCAGAAATTTCATGCTTTCATTCTATTCATTAAGTTCGTCAAAGCGATAGGTCGTTTTTACTGCCGCAATATAATGTAACCTTTACTGTAAGTTGATCAATACATTGTGGCTGTCTGTCAAAGGTCTTGTCCAATTTATATCTACATAATGACCTAAACCTTAAATATCTGCAAATGTAAAATCACCGGAACGAAATAATTTAAATAAACTTTTTAAATCATTCTTTATTCAAGTTCCAATATATAAACCGCACACTTTCATGAATGATTTCATATTGCAAAATATTATCAAAATTGAATGAATAAATCCGCACCATTACTGCACTATGTAAATATTTGTAATTTTAATAAGTCGGATAAGATCTTTAAAATATTTCTTAAAAACATCCCTTACCAGAATGTTAAATATCTACCATTAAGCATTTATTTGTTTCACGATTATTTTAAGCACAAGAAATTATATATTACATGAAAAGAATTAATTTCTCTAAATGCGTCATAGACAACCCTTGGTTAAACGATAAGTTTTAAATCTACATTCAGTACTGTTTATGTAATTTACAATGAATGTAGTGGAACAAACTGTATGTGATCAATATAGCAGAATTAGTTAACCATGGGTTGCTCACAAGTTGACCTGCACGGGTTGACCCATGTGGTTGATGCAACTGCAACCCGAAACCCGACCCACCCGCGGGTAACCCGGGTTGGGTCCGGTCTCTAATTTTGAGTGTATTTTCCATTTGACTATAATGTAAAGATTTATATATGACATCTTGTGTGACTGCTACTGTAAAATATCTGTATAGCTTTTTACAATAATCTTGATGTTTTGTATTGCAAATAAGTTCATAATGAAAAGTTTCGATTGTATAATTCATATGTAACGCGTTTAACATGATTATCCATTATCTATTAAGGAGGTGTGAGTTATTATTTCAAACAAAAAAAAAACCATTATAATATCAATAATAAAAAAGACAGATTTTTAGCTTATACTTCGAAAAAACGACATACAACACATTTTAATAATTACCTCTTTTACATGAAGAAATTCTTTATATCATAATTATCATGTTCCTGAACTACAAATCAAAGTAAAATATTGGCGGCAGAAAAAATTCGCGATCAGGCGATCGCGAATTTTTTCTGTCACAACTATTCCTTACAATCAGATTTCAATATTAGGTGTAACGTAACAATCATAAATTTCAACCCGACAAAATCGCTTATTTCTATCGCTATATATTTCGTTAATGTCTAATCTTAATATAGATGCTAACCTTAAAACCCAATTTTATTTGCATCACAGACCTGACACACATTTAAGAATTACATTGGATCCATACCGTGACGTGCTCTTCTTCTAATCCTGGAATAATAGAAAAGAATGAGTGAAAATATATTTAAAACTAAATGTTCGATTTATTACTGGATTTGAAGTAAATGTTATGAAAAATTAAATTCAACCAATAGAAGATGACACATTTGAATTTAATTTTTGAATGAATATTGGAATCAGGTGAAGATGAATTTAAAAGTTTCGGAGAGACATTGACATAGAAAATCTACGAATTGAAATCTATCCAAATACAGTCAAACTTTCTAAGTACTGTTAACCCATATAGCGCTAGTGCTAATAGCTCTAATCAGTTCTAGTAGAAATAATAGTTCAAGTTACAATATTAGTTCTTAGAATAACTACTAATTCTGCTCAGATATGAAAGCTTTAATAGAAATAGTAGACATATTAGATAAAGTATAACTAATTATAACTAGTATATATATTGATGGATCATAATATCGTAAAATGTAATAGCTTTAAAAATCTCCCTTGTAAAAGAACAAACAACATAATAGAATTCTAAACTCACCAATTAATTAATAAAAGAGTAATTATGTCTTTATTATTGAGTTGTGGAGTATAGAGCTGTTTTTTCTACAAGAACATATTTGAGGCTATTTATACATCTTGAACATTACGACCCTTTACATTAACGCTATTTAGCACTGCTTAGCGCTAATACTGTATTACAAGCATTTAATAAAACTATTAACGCTACCTAGCAATATTTAGTGCTAATTACATTCTTTGCATTAGTGTTACATTACTGCTAAGTATCATATGATACCAATTTACAAGGCTTAACAGTGGAGTTATAAGAATTCTAAACCCAAATTTATAATAAAAATTCTAAACAAACTTTATATACTTTGATTTTTTTTTAAATAAAAAACCTTCTATATAAAAAATTATGACTTAAAAAATTAAAATATCTCTAGTATAGGCTACTCATACCACCTTTACTTTTAATAAAAATGAAAAAATACAATTTTTATACATAAATTAAGATGTGTTATCTTATTTAACTAATGAATATATAATAACAACCATATAGAAAAATATATTTTATGTCTAATAATATATTTCTAATTTAATTTAAAAAATATCTAATAAAATTTGAAACATACTATATATATATATATATATAAATGTTAAAAAAATTAACACGTATCCAAATTTATATATTAGATAATTTAACGTTAAGAAATATTTTTTCTTTTTTACTAAGCTAATTAATTATTTTTTGGGGTTCAATAAAATTATAAAATACTGAGTTACGGATTAATTTAACTTCCAGAAGTCTATTTTTTCGAAATACCATTTTAACGAAGTTGTAATATACCAACAATCTATTTTACTAAAAAGACGGTTCATAGAAAATCAATTCACCGACAAGTTTTTTTAAAAATTGAACTAACCTTAACTCTAATTATAAACCTGACCCTAGTGACAATTACTTTGTCAGTGAAGTGAACAAACCCGAAATGGGTCTTATCAGGAAAAAGGGATATCGAAATTACGCATTTCAGGAAGATGACTTCAGGAAAGTGATCAACAACAAAAATACTAGAGTTTTAATAGTAATAAAATTACAAAACATATTAAAAAATTATATATCTGATTTTTATAAATTGGAATTACTAAGCTAATTTACTATTAAATTACAAAGATACCTTTTATAATTTTTATTAAAAGTCAAAAAGTAAAAAAATTATTTATAGTGAATATGGTTTTGTTTAGTAATTTTGCTAGAACCGTGATTGAAGGTCATGACCTATGACAATCATGAATCAAAATCCATGCTTAGTAATTGACATTTAGAGAGTTGAGAAATATGCAGCATCGTATTAATTAATGGAAAAAGCACAAATTTCAAGCAGTGACGAAACTTTAAGGCCAAATAAAATTATTGGTCGACCCGAAGTTCAACCTAATCCTAATCTTATCATGATTATTCATAAAAAAGTCTTGGAATCAAACAAAGCAGGTAATACTAACAAGAATACTTGAAGTCTCGTTCCTGCCACAGTAGACTTGAAACCATAATTTTCGAACCAAATCTTTCATGCCTCAATCGAAGCCCTCTAACATTAAGGTTAACTAAAGCCGTAGTCATTTTATGCAACCCTTATCCCGACCCGTAACTATCGCGGAAATCAATTTGCCTTTTTCAATATATGTAGTACTGTACATCCATACGTATATCGATATATATATAGTAAGATGAGAGTGCAATACACTTTAAATATCTTACTAAACTTTTTTATAATTATAATAAAATATATGAAGAATTATTTAAAATTTTTTGAGTTTAAAAGTTATATTTCATGGATAAAAAGACTAAATTTGAGTTGTGCCTGAAATCAGCTGAAGATGGCAATCCAGACGGACAAAATGGAATTGGAATCTGTTACCAAGATGGTATAGGCACAGCCAAGGATGAAAAAAAGGCATTTGAGTGGTATTTGAAATCTGCTGAAGGTGGCAATTCGAAT